TTAAGGATGTGAGCTTTTATGATGGTTTAAGTCATTGTAGCTACTTCTAGATTCGAAATTTTAATTCCTCTGTTGTCTGCACTTGAAAATTTGACAAACTTTAGATTCAAGTCTCGTTACGACATCCAACAAGGTCCAAACTTTAATTTTTTAAAGTTACAAAGCTTATCAATACGTGACTGAAGCAAGAATCCAAAATCAAGGATTCAAATCTCAGTAAAAGCTCATTCAATTATCCACAAAAATTCCATCACAACAGAGCACTCATTGGTTATTTACTGTGCTGTAGACGCAAACACATTTCGATGTTGTCGAGGAACAAAGTTGATAACGAGCATCAGCAAATTGCGACAGTACTCAATGACTATTTCCTGTTGTCGTTATGCACGTTTTAGCGCAATTTTTAATACGACAAAACTTTGTTGATAACATGAAGCATGTAGTCGTGTGCTATTGAATTTTCAGGTTACACGTAATCTTTATTTGAGGAAAGAAGGAAACAGAAAAAGTTTTTTGATCTCATAAGTAAGGAACCACGAGTGATTTCAATTTGATAAAAATGTGTGCGTACTAAAGAAGCCACTTAACGTGAATGTATACTTCCAAAACAGCAACAATAAACATTTTTGAGTTTGTCACGCACAAACAAAAGGGACCGAGGGGAATACAACTTAATTGGGATTTTTTTGATTGAAAATTTTCATGAACTTCTTATTTCTTAAATTTTCGATCGAAAAAGGTTGGAATTGTTTTCATCAAAATTTACCCATTATGTTGTTATCCCCTTGCTAAGGAAACAAGAAGGCAGCTTCAATCCATAATGAAAGGAAGACGAGGTGTATTCCTGTGATTCCATTCAAAAATTTTAATGCAAAGAAGGAAGTCATTGAACGAATTTCAAATGAAGGTACTCAAATATTAAAAGTTCCTTGGAAATATTTAATGTGAAATTGTGAGAATGTTCTCGAGTTGATGCTTATTTTTACCCCTACTCGTGTTATAACAGAGAATTCTGAGTTTTTCTTTGTTTTTCGGAGAAGAAAAACAAAAATGAGAAAAAGTTTTGTTTTTGTTCTTTTGAAGAAAATTTGTTGAGTAGGTATTAGGAATATTATTAGCTAATTAAAACAATTTAACGGCTATGGCACTGTAACATCATGTATCTGGATTTAAATTTGATAGTATTAATTTTAAATTATGCGAAATTTGATTGGAATCAAACTCGCACCTCAAAAAAGGTGATCCTTAATCATTGAGTTCGAAGATTTTTTGTTGAGAATATTGTAACGGTTATTTAATATTCAAATTATGTACGGAACGTAAAATTAGTTTGTTTTGCCCTATATAGTTGTTAACCCCTTCATATGAATATTGGTCTGTTTCTGATCTTTGAACAATAAAACATATCTGTGATTATATATAAGCTGGTCTCTTTGATTAGGTTTATTAATAAATAAAGATTTTGTTCAATATATCCAACATTATTGCTTTTGACAAACGAGTTATGTGTCTCATTTGGAAGATATGAACTTAGAGCAAAATCTACAGCACAAGATTTTAATTGATCTAAAGTACACAATAGGTTTCTCATGATATCTTCGTTCTAACCTTTCTTTAAATTGCCTGAATAAGTTAAAAATGCATTCCTTACTTTCTCCATTCAAAAGACAGTTTCAGCTTCTTTAAAATTGAAAGAAAGAATTATTTCAGTGGAATAATTTTGTTCATAAAATGGAAATTGTTGATATTGCAGAAAACAATAAATGTGACTGAATAAATTCGCGAGAAAATTAATTTTATATTTGAGTAATTTTAAAACAAACATTTATTGCAGTTATGCTGAAACGAAATATTTGCTAGGGGCATTAAATACCCACAAGCATGCAAACATTCATGGTTTGACGCTTTCATTAGCTCAATAGGAATAAATTGATGCTTCCACTTTAGAATAAGTGTGAGACTTGAATTTAAAAATTCTTAAAGTTTGACACAATGTTGTAGGTTGTCTTCATCGGGATTTAAAACAAGCAATGCTCTAATTTCAAGTTCAACTATCTGTTCCTCACTCTTATAGAATACAAAAGCTATAAAACGAATAAAATGAAACTTAATTTAAATTTAAATGGAAAATATCATTACGGTTATTGCATTTTCTATAGATTTGGCTCGTAGAGCTTCTCTAAAGACAACTTCTTAAGCATTTGCTAATTTCAGCAAAACAAAAAATTATGCGAAATTAAATTGAAAACTTTCCGTAAGTACTTTCTGGCTTAATGAGTTGAATTGTTTTAATTTTATGGGAAGTAAAGATGAAATTAAAGTTGTAGTCAACTGGATGTTATAGATTCTTCTCTGCTTCTAAGTTGTACAACTTCTGTGTTGGTGTCCTGAATTTATTTTATAAACTCAAGCAAAAATAATTTGTTGTGTCATCAATCCACTTAAAATAATCTAATATCTAGTCACATAAATCAGAATAAGGTAAAGCTACAAATTGAAAAGAGAAACGAAACGACATAAAAATTCAAACAAAAAAGATGTTAAATTTAATTAATGAAATTTTCTGTAGCCTCATCACTTTGTTTCACAAAAAAAAAGTGGACGTTGGGGAGATAAGCATGGCAAGCAACAAAAAGAGCTTTTATTGTGAAATATTGTAGCTTTATTTCTATTTCTGTACGAATCATCCTTGGACAGAAACGAATAAAAAACGAGTTTTTACCCTCAAAGCATTTTTCAATTGTGATGGAAATTTAAAATATGGAGGACGGGGGGGGGGGGGGGGTGGGGTTTAATTGTCAAATGATGTCAATCATGGAGAGGGCCCAGCCTTTTGAGCTGGAAGCGATGCGATTCAAATAAAATTAGAATCTATTGTACCACACCCTTTAGATCTTGCAAGCTCTGCACAGTGCAAAGACACGAGTACGTCTAAAGACCTGATGTATTCTGCAATGTATCTAGTCACAATTCGGTTGTGAAATTAGGTTATGCGCTGAAGACCTCAAAACTACATCAAACACACGAACCGAGCTTCGTAACAAGAACGGTGAAATAGAAAAAGAGCTTCTAAAACTTGTCTTGGTCTGGGATTGAACTTAGGACTTTTGGCACTTAAGGCCAACGCTCTACCACTTAGGCTACTTATGCCATTTTACTGCTTTAATGATAAAAATACTTTTTTAAATTTTTTAAAGTCCGTTAAGGTTTTACCCTTTTATTAAAGAACTGTCTGACTCCTCTATGACAAGACATCACAAACGAATGACTCCCCAAACGACACATAACAAAAAAGAGAATGAAAAAGTTTCCCTTACCGAATGTGTCACGACATGAATAAATGAATTAGTCGCTGAAATGAAACTATGGAAATTTTTTACCCGTCCGTAATTAAATTCTCTTCCTTTTTATTGTGTAATTGAATTTAACACCATACAATTAATAACATTCATCATTGTTTTCACTTACGCCGCTTAAAATTGCGGTATCGATTTTTTACACTTTTTTGTCATTTGACAATTTAAGTTAATTAAAAATTTATCCATTTGCTGCATCTTTTTTTGTCGCATCCATTTACATAGACGAAATATTTAAATGAACAAAATACTGAAAATTGCAATATTTGTGCTTGATTTATGCTGCAGGATTTAATTTGAATGTGTTGATAAGTCCTTAATATCCTGAACTGGCAGATATTTTCAAATTTTCACATCTGTCCATAACAACAATTTTCACGTTTTTCCTCAAAACTTTCGGTTCCATTTCCCTAGTAGCATGCATGATGTGTTGTGATGCGATGGTTTATGATAATTAAGCAGATTGCACAATAAAACAGGTTTTCAATCTAGACTTTTCATCAAATTTGTTGCTAATTTCGTTTCGGTTGTTGAATGATAACAAAAGGCACAATGATTTATGTTGATTTTAGCTGATTAATGCGGTGAATCTGTTGATTGGCAGAATTGAAATTGGCAGGTTGATGATAAAGGATTTTTGGATGTATTTGCAATCACGCGATGCATGTTTTGTGGTTTTGTGGGGATGCATTGACACTTTTGCTTGGTTTATGTGTTGCTGGATGTGTAATGGCTTGAGTAATATGTCTATTTAGGAACTCTAATTCTCTAGACTGCTGAATACAATTTAAAGCCTGCTTGTAAGAGGTTTTTGGTATGTTCTGTGCTAAAGCTCTGGTTAGACCTTCCTTTCTTCATTTCAATTCACAGTTACAGCCTTTGTCTTGAGTGGAGGTCACATAAATGGTTAGATGAAGTTTGGGATACTCTATTGAATAATTCAAAACGGATGTGTACCACTTAAGTTCCTGAATGCACCACGAATGTGAGTTGCTGCTTAACTTCCACAAAGACATCATTAAAATTATCACAATTAAATTTTAAATCCCATAAAATCATAATGACAGAAACATGTTGCCTATACCCCGAAAAAAAAAAACTCGTTAAAAAATGAAAAACTTTTAAAGCTCGAAATCCTTTTCATTGACTTTACAGCATACATATGCTACATTGTCACAAATCATAAAATTTGTCTTCTTTTTCGTCTGAGCTTTGTAAATTTTATGCCTTCATCTATGACTTTTTTTTTGTTTCAAGCCAGTCACACACATATTATGCTGCAACAAAAAAGAATAATTTATAGTCAACTGTGAATGCTATTTCAAGAGCACATACATGAGGATAGCACGCAAAAAAATCTATTTTGTAACTGACTTTTTATAGCATTTACTTATGCATATATGCTGAATTTTTGTGTGCGGCACCAAACAATAATGAGATGCTCAAGTTTTGCGATTTTTTATTACATTTATTCAACCAGGGATGTAGATTTGCACAAAACGGAACTAAGGTAAAGCATAGAACCCAATAAAATATTGTGATCAATGACCTGTACATAAAAAATACTTATTCATGTTATTTTCTGGTTGCTATCAAGTGTGAAAATTGCCGAAAAATTATCGAAAGTCGTCAATTGTTTGTTGATTTTTGTTGGAAGCGGCTGTTCCTTTGTTAATTCAGAATAAGAAAATATTTTAAAATGAATGTTGAAGTTGCAATTTATCATGAGATTATTGAAGCTATTGTTGACCCGGAAGTGTTGTTAATAGATGTTAGAGATCCTCAGGAAATTGCTGCAACTGGATCTATTCCAACATCAATAAATATTCCACGTACGTAACTGGATCTTTAAGTTATTATTTTTTTTTGAAGGAAGAATTAAGTAGGTTATGTCAAGCACTTGTTTAGTGGGTAGGAGGTTAGAGCTGAACTTTGTTGGGCTGTATTTTGGATGTTAAATGACAAATCAATGGCTAAATGGAGTGTGATCAAGATCCCTATCTTGCTATTCCTGCTTACCTCCCGATATATTCAAAATATTATAATAATTGACAATTGTTTTCAGTTGCAAAAATTCCACAGGAATTAAAACTCTCGAGACTTGCTTTTGTTGCAAAATATCAACGCAATAAGCCTAGCTTGTCCCATAAATTAATTTTCTACTGCAAGTTTGGTGATCTCTCTCAAACAGCAGCCGAAGAAGCCGTAAACATTGGATACAAAAAGTAATGCATTGCATGAGAAAAATTCATTTAGCAATTTGTTACATAAAATTGCAACTTCCATTCTTATTCCTTATTTTCAGTGTACGTAACTATAAAGCAGGATATTCTGAATGGACATTTAAGTGGAAAGAGTGGGACGATTATGTAGATCCTGAGAAATTTAAGCAACAAGAGAGATATAAAGAATTGTAAATTGCATCCTATTTATCCGAGAAATGTTCATTTTTAACTCTTTTGTTCCATCTTTTGTTATTGCTCACATTGTATCGTTTTAGCTTGTAACTGTTTTTAAGGTTTAGTTATGTTTCTCTGGAGATGTGGATTCTGTTATTTTCAAAGCAATAATTCTGAAGACAAAAACCAATTTAAGTCTCTCTCTCCCTGCATCTCTGTATTATTAGATTCACATCAGTTATCATCTTTATTTTTATTGTTTTTTTTAAACTCAATGGAAGTTATTTAACGCAATAAACCAAAGGAATTGTAATTGTCTTGTAATGCAGTGTTATGTATTGAATAAATAACAAAAAGTATTCGCTGGAATCATGAAACTTAATGTTCAGTTGTTGTTAACTTTTTGTGGATATTTCAGGCATTTCAGATAAAGTTTCAGTTTTTAGGATTCATATTCATTATAAAATTAAATCGTTGACATAAAGCACCAGAGCCGAATTCAGAGAACGGATTATGATCAAAAATATCCATCAACACTTCTTTGCAGCACTCCAATTCATGCTAGATACTAACAGCCCAAAAAAAATTCAAATTAACACATAACATGAAGTTGGCTCCATAACAATTTGAATAATATTTCAACCGTTCCTAAAATGATTCTGCAATGTGATAAGATCAAACTTTTGCGGACCATCCTTTAATTATTAAAAACCTTTTATTACAAATATCAATACAAAATACTTTCAAGTATCAATTTCCACAATTTGTGGTAAATCTTCTGGATCTTCTTCGAGTAGATCATCAAAAGTCCATGATATTGTATCATCGAGATGTTTCTGTAGTGATTCTGAGATATCTTTACAGTCGTTAAGCTCTAGATTCCGTAATAAACTTTTTATATCAATATAAATTGTATTTGTAGAGCTCTGTTCTATGAATTCAATTGGAATTTCAGGAATTTGATGTCTAATGATGTTGACAAAATGTCTGTAGAATGGCTTGTACTTCTCAACAGCTTGCTCTGAATTGCATAAAAGTGACACAATTTGACGCCAATGAGATAATGATTCAATAGATAAGGTACATAGATAGACGATGAAGCTGAACTGTAGTTCCTCTAATAAGTTTGATTTTGTTGAGATTTCATTAAACAGTTTGTCTATTATGTTAATCGTGTCTACATTATTGAATGTCTTCTCTGATGGTGATGAGAACTGATTATATCGTTCAGGAAGTTTTGAGTATTTAGGCTGTGTTTCACTAATTACTTCCATATTTGGCAAGTACATTGACTCGTCATCAACTGAACGAATTTTGACATTTCTTATTGGAGTTGTAGCATTTCCTCTTGGACGATCCTTATCTGGACATGATTTAAACTCGACTTCGTTCCTAATTATTCCAGCTTCGGGTGACATCCTTTTTATTGCTTCCTCAGTCAGTGTATTTGTTAAGTTTTTCCACTTTCCGATGTTTTCATAGTCATAAATAGCTAGAAATCTGAATAAATTAATTGCATTAGCTGGATGTGGTTTTTAAACCTTTTATGTTCATTACCTGTCTAAATTCTTAAGATTCTCCCTAATTCTCTTTTTTTCTTCTTCAATATCACCTTTAGTTCTATTCTGCAGCTCTTCATTTTCTCGATTCCATTCTTTCACTAATATTTCCCCATTTTTAAAATAATGTATAAATCCACTTCTGCTTACTGATGGATTTCCATATTGATCCTTTGATGACGCATAGACGAAATGTACTCCTTGTGGAATAAACTTGACTCCTCTGAATTCTTGTGTGATGTTTATAGCTATAAGATACAGAAATTTCTATTAATTTTATGTTTTCACATGATTAATGCTGTATTATTACCTAGAAGATCTATCCCAAACTCCGTATGATCAGGCGCACCAGTGACAATCAAGAATGCAAAGTTCTTGTCCATTGTAAAGGCTTAAATTAATTAAATAGTGGATATACGATTAAATTGAATATTTTTGTAAACAAAAAGGGCGTTAAACTATGATTTAAAAAAATTTGAAAATTTAAAAACCGTTTACTACTTTGAGCATTGATTTGGATTTTGCTAGTCTTTCAAGCATGCATTATAGCTATAATATGCATTATAGATATAAATTATCAATCAATTGATATGGAAATCGGTTGATTCGACGCATTAATTACTTCCCAAAATATTAATTGATAGGAATCATAATCGTTATCTAATTTTCTCTAATATGAATAAAATGATAAGGCACGATCAGTTTCGCAATTAGAAGGGTTTTTGATACCAATATCAATACCTTTGGATACGCCTCTGATTATTTTATCTTAAATTTACTAATTTATTTATTCAAATATCACCATATATGCCAATAAAAGCAACTAAGTAGTACACAGTAAGCATTAATCAAGTCATGAGGCTAACAAAAAGGAAAGGTGACAAAAAGTTTTTCAAGGCACAACGTGAGCGTGTAAGGATGTTGGCCATCAATAAAGCATTAATATATCTTAGAAGTGTGCTGCAGACTTCAATATTGAATGGATCAAGCGAGTTCCAGCATTTACCGAAAATTGAGACATTAAAGCTAGCCAAGAACTACATCCATATCCTACACAACAAAGCACTTGGCATGGACTATACGGACGATGAATATATTGCGACTTTATCATTCAATTTAAAGAACAGCACAGCTAAAATGTTAAGAAAAGTTATCATGTCCAATGAATAAGTTCCTTTATTATTCATTCAGTACAAACTTCAAGTCACACAATGGACATAAAAATATATCAAATTTCGATGGATCCTCAATGATTAATGACAAAATCTCTAAAGACGTAAAGCTTTCCCGACATTGCTTACAAAAGTTTGTGCAATCAAGTGACACAGGCAAATTGGTTGTAGCACAACGCTTCAATTTATGTCCGGAACTGCATTCTAATTGATTATCATTTAGTTCCTCAAAACAGAAGCAGCACAGCTCAGCCTGAACTTTCTTTCCTTTCAATTTTTCATTACAAACTTTTAATGTCTCATTAAGTTGTGGTTTCAGTGTCTCTAAGGCAGTATTGAAAGGTTCCTTGTCCTGTACTGAATTGCAATATTTGATGATAAGCTTCTTGAGGCTTTTTATGACTCTATAGTGGACATCGGTCATTGTCTTTGATTTAAACATGACATTAAGCAGCAATTGTGTATTTATGACACGAATAAGTTCGCCAATTGATACCTTTGACTGATCAATAATGTCGAATATGTTCCTGGATTTCATTTGGTAATAAATCAGCTTAATATTAATCAGCAGCAGTTGTATTTTAAGGTAATAAAGGAACTTGTAAGTTATAGCAATGTCATAATCCATTTGTTCCAAAACACCAAGCGTCTCTAACTTATTTGATCCTATGAATCGTATAGCCTCAATGCAGTCTATATAGTCAGTCATTCTTAATGTTGGATTGTTTAAGATTATTTGTACTGGATCATGTTTTGTGAATAAATTTATTGAAATGTGATTCGGTTGTTTATTGATGAGATGATCGTAAGCCTGTAAAATAGAATGAGTATTGATTCATAGCTTGTCTGGATGATACATGCAGGATTTATAAATATCGGTATTAAACTAAACCATTGGATTAAATTTAAATCCGATGATTAATTTTTAATCCACAGATATACATGTTCTCGAATACTTATAGTTTCAAAGTAACAACTTACATTCTGCGGATAGCACGATAGATAGATCAAAACATTGTTCTTAGAAGCACCGATGCCATAAAACGAATAATTGCTAGCTATGTCCAAATCATCCATCAAGGAATCGAAACCAAGTTTGCTGAAGGTACTTAACAGCATTCGACCATTCTCGATACTCAATTTTATGTAATATACTCTTGAATTGAGAGTACAAAGCATGTATTCAAGATTATCGCAGAGAGTAAATCCAGTTATTGACATGTCTACATATTTGCTGCATACAAGCTCTACTTTGTCTTCTTGTAAGTGGAAGATTTCAAGTGTATGTCCTTTAAAGCAGAACAATATCGTCGATGTTTCATGATAGTCAATTCCCATGAAATTTATTGGCATTTTCAGCTTTCCATCAATCGTACCGACTTTCTTAATATCATTTACGGTTCCATCATCTTCAAGTTCTACTGAATATCGCACTAAATCTCCTTTATCGGTGCTAAAAGCAATGTAATGCTGATCATTCATGTCCATCCATTTCATTTTGTTCCTGTTGATTCCTTCAATTTTTGTTGACTTTATTTCAACGACTGTATCGTCCTGGATGTGATAAATTATCAAGTCATCACTCTTAGTTGTGCAAATAAGCAGTTTAAAGTCTTCGTAAGGAATCGCACACCATTCAAAATTGCTAAAAGTTACTTGATTAAGCGTTTTACGAAGCACATCCAGTTTAACGATTTCCTTTGTTGGAACTTTCAGTGAATTCTTTCTCAATTCAGAGAAATTAACATCAATATTTTTTAATTCGCAGGTATCAATATTGTAGTTGTATAGTTCAATCATTCCTGATGTAGTTAAACATGCCAAAATATAACCAGTCTTCTCAGAAAAAGGAGACATTTCACTTTTCAAATAATGTGTATTCTTTAATGTACAGTCAGGAAGTATATAAGGATGCAGCATAATGAAGTTCTTCTCATTATGATCAGCATTGTCATAAACTTTGGTCTTATTGATGTTAAGTTGTGGATATTCAGTCGGCTTTTTAGTTTTTGTGCTTGACAACTGTATGTTTGTCGGTGTTATATTGTCATGATTATAAGAAAATACTTCACACGAGAACTTCATACGCTGTATTAAGAGATCATCCCAAGCTTGGAGATTAAATGGATAGACGATGTCATCGTTCGATATTGTAACTCCAATTGTTTTTAAGTTTATGTCCATTTTTCTGGAAATTTTGAGATTTCATATGAATTATGAGTTGCTTAAGGTGCTTTTGATGTGGAACTTACCATTTAATGATTACTGTCTGTATATATCTTGTTATTTGATGTTTTTTATGCGTATTTTAAGAGTTTTAATTGATTAAATAGCAAAATTTAAATTTGTTGTTTTTAAATGTTGACAAATTGGAATTCACCACAAAAATTCAAATTTAAAACGACGGTTTCAAGCAAACTTACCACAAATTCAAAAAACTATCGTTAAATATGTTGTAAATTATTCTGATATGTAAATGAGCATAAATTTTTATGATTTTGACCTAAAAACAGCATAACAACATAAAAACAATGAAAAATTTCTCTTTTTAAATTGTTTTTTTGCTTTATTTTTCTCAATATCTTTTAAATATTCACATAAAATCCATGCTCTTGAAATAAATTAATTAATACACATAAAAATATGTTTTTAATGCAAAATAATTGCACAATAAAACTTAGATTTAAGAATAAGATAGGTGCTAGTCAGCTTACTGATAGAAAATAATTTATAAGAAAATAAATGAAGAGTTTAAAAAGCATATTTAATGCGGTAACATAACATGTGTCTCTGCTTAATTAATTGTAATAATAATATTAAAAAGGAATGCATTTAATCATATTAAATAATTTAATCTATACATTATTCTCATTGAGGTTTTCCTTCGAACATTTTTTTGATTAATTTAAGATTTTATTATTTTTTTTTTCATTTTAATTTGATTCAACTTTGTTTTTAATTTGTGAATGGCTTATGTTTCAATTTTAATCTAACCTACTAGCTACATACTTTCTTATGCTTATCAATCTTTAGCCGCCAATATAAACGAAATAACAAAATTTTAAAATATTCTTTTTTTTTAAATTGCATCACAATTACGTGAACTTTTCTTCGATTCTTCTTTTTAATAAAATAATTTAAATATTTAACAGTATATTATTAATTTTTTTAAAAATTTCTTTCAGTTATAATAAAAAAATTTCCTCTTTTCCACTTTGTAAAATATCAAATTGGTTTAAAAGACTTCATTTTTCTCTCATTATGTCTTGAATTAACTGTAGAACTAGGAGTTGATATAAAAGGAATTTATACAATAAATAATATCCTCAAAAAATCCTGATTGAAAATGTTTTTTTGTTTTTAAATTTTCTTGCATCAAGTCTATTAGAAAAATTGGACAGTTGTTTGCTTTAGTATAATATGAATTAAAAGTTCAGAGTTGCTATATTCTATTCATTCAGTTCCTTTCTTGCTTGTTAAGTGACTGAAATTGCATGATCATCGACGGTTTTCAACGGTTTTTCAGAATTCAAAAAAAATAAAAGTTAAAACAGATTTACATAATTTTCAAAGATTCTTCAGCCGTTATTATTTGAATTTCAAAAAATCGTTGTATATTCTAGAGAATAACCCTTATTTGATTTTTCTTAGTAAAAGATAATCTACCTCCACTTCCTACAAAACGATCATTAAAATTACATTTTCAAGCGAAATAATAAACATCATTTGTACTATGAACTATAGAAGTCGTCATCCAGTAATTTATCTATTTCACAAATTGATTACAAGCTCTATTCAGTCACTTAATCTAGCAAATTACTATGCAGTCAATTCTTAACTATTAATATGCCTCATAATACAGTAAAATTTCACTCCTCACGACAAAAAATGCCATCGATAGCAACTCTGAATAGTAAAGTAAAAAAATGAGACGAAAGGCAATCGATTCCATTGTCCTTCCAACGTCTAATTGTTCATCTACAATCTATTCTCTTTGTGATAATAAATGCAGGTTTAATGTGTTTTTGTTTGACTTTTTCCAAGATGAATAATTGAATTTTTATTTACTAGAGTTAATGAACTTTTTGTTTGTATGCTTGTTTTTAATTTTTTGGAGAAACTGTAATTAATTTATGAGGAGTCACGGGAGAGATCTATTGAAAATGGAAAAGACCTCGTCAATGAAAAATGATCAAGTTAAAAAGTCTTCACTAAAGTGGGACTAAAGCGCATTTTCCGATAATTTTTGATCAATTGTTATGAACAACTTGAGTAGCACTGCCCTACACGTTAGCAGACTTTCGGACAGCACTTGCTAAAGGGTGATTTCACAGATAGATTGAATTTTGAAGATATTGACACATCAATCTACAAAACCCTGCCTATCGTGAAGTCCCAATTCTGCATAGTTTCGAAAAATGCGCCAGATAAATAATAATAAAATTAAACATTTAATAAGCTAAGACTCACCCAATGCGATCGATTCTCAAGTAATGAGTCATCATCTAATAAACTTTGCTGATCTATGTACAAAAGTGTATCTTTACTACACGAACTTACACCTCTTATTCGGTAATCCTTATTTGTAGCTGTCGCAGCCGTTATTCTATCCGTATCATGCAGCATATAATTTTTGGGTAACGATGTTGATGAAATGTCGTCAATTCGATCCATTAATAGTAAATCGGATATTTTTATTGCTCCAATATCGCTATGTCGATTGCTCGTATTATTATTCTGATCATTCCATAGTAAATTGCTAATTTTATGTTGCGACATTAAATCCTCAATCTTATCGCGCTCATTTCTAATGATTTCCTTCTCTTCATCAATTTTATGGAAGCCATTGTGATGGTGCTTCTCTGAAGGCGGTGAACTTGTGTAAATTTCGACTTTCACTTCAATCTTTTGTTCGATAATTCTTTCCTCATCATAGTCATCGACATTATTATTATTATGATTGCCGTTAACCATAACTTCATTTACATTCTCTTCTTTAACCTTTTCATCGACATCGTCATTACCACTGATGCTACTTATGCTACTGTTTTCATTATTCTCAACTTTTATGGAATGCTCAGTAATTTCTATCTTATCCTCAATCTCTCCATCACTCGCTTGATTAATTAACTCACTACATGACGTAACTTCTGGAATGTCGTCACTGTCAATTGCCTTTATATCATCGAGATTTAAAATTGCTTCTAATTGCTTACTTTCCTCTCCGTTTTCTGTGTCTATAATTATTGGTTCTGCTTCTGCACTGATCTCATTTATTTCTTCCACTTTTAAATCATTAGTTGTCGTTGATATTGGAATTGTGGACGGCGGTGCTGTAACAATTTTCGATACCCAATGCTCACCAGAGCTTGTACTGGCACCGGAACTATCGGAATTTTCATTTGCTTTTCGTCGTTGATAAAATAACATATAAGCTTCATTATTAACAATTTTTTCTGGCACTTCTTCAGGTTTTATGTGTGACACTCGTTGATCATCAAATTTATACCATTGCTGATCATATGGATTCTTACATGCTGCTGTATAATGTCCTGTCTCTAATGTATCACCTTGATGATAACAGACAGCATATAAATCATATTTATGGTCCTCATGTAAAAATGTTTTCGTTAATGTTCCTGATTTGCTCGCTGATTTTGTGGATTTACGCGATAGACTTCCACAATTGCTATTATTACTACTGTTGCTATTACAATGATTACCGTCGTTGGCGAGATGCCAAGTTGACATGTCGAATCCAGTTAGTGGAAATTTAACCATTGTTGTGAGCTTTGATACTTGAGATCCTTTTAACTGCTGTTGACGGAATCGCTTAAAATGAATAACTAAAATATCAGGTAAGGACCAAAGGCCTAATGTCTTAACAACTGGTAAATATTTTTGGCAATTTGGACAACGCCAAGCGTCTTCAGTACTTAATGTTTCTGCTTTTGTATAATGATCAAGACAATGCTCTAATGTAAGTTGACTACTTTCTGGTGAAATTTCTTTCTCTTCCTTTACACTTCCGTGCTCAACGATATTATCCTCCATATCAGAGAAATATTTGTCAGGCTCTGTCCATTCTAATGATAATTTTATATGTTGTGGACCTGAATCTGATGGATGAACTGATAATGCTAAATCAACCATGTCAGTAAGAAGTGGATGTTCAAATTTAGATTCAAGATACGTATTTGGATCTGCTGATCCTTCCTGTAGATGAAGCTTAAACATTTCATTAATTGGTGTTGAGTAACTGAATGTTTCAGGTTTTAGCACCGATGACATTTCTTTCAATAGAGCTTTTTGGAGCTCGATAAATGAGACATCTCGATTGATTTTCATGCAGAATAAAGAACCTGAAAAAATACATTAAAAAGTTTTTATGAGTTATTCATAAATCTATCAATAAATGTGGCAATAACGACATCGTCGTTAAAAGTTCTGATAGCAAAGGTTATTTTAAGCGCATTTTCATGGAACAAAAGCTACGGCTTAAAATTAACATTTTAAAATTTAAAAGAGTAACGGTTTGTTGAAATTTGAATTCCAAAAGATAGAAAATGTTTCAAAACCATTCAAATTATTTCAAAACTTTTGTAAGGTTTTCAGATTAATTTCAAATATAGAATTAACGTTAAAAACATAAATCTTACCGAATCGTTTGCTAGGACTTTCCTTGACGTTTACGTTCACAAAACATAATGCAACCTGTGAGTCTTCGACTTTTTCGGGCAGCTCAATGCAGTATACAGTATCGTCACTCTTCACATTCGATAAAGGATGTGAGTCACAGAATAATCTATTAAATCCAGACGACGTACATTCTGTGAGAATCATACGTTTTGATTCGATGCCAGTATCGGCATGTAATTGCTCCCTTAGTGCTAAAACAGATGATCCTTGAGATACACTTAGTGACATACGAACTTGTTTTGGTGTTTTAACATTATAAACGACATTAACATTGACTGACTGTAATGTTAGTTGAGGCAACTGTACTGAGACACAATGAAATGGATCAAATGTGTTGCTTTGCTTATGACAACGTGGACATGTCAACGACGAACGGAATTGCGCACGAAAAACTGCTTGAACAAATGAGTTATTACATCTCATATAATTCGCCAAAGTCTCAGCAGCAACAATCTCATCTGATCGTCCATAATTATTCTTTATGATTTTATACTTTCTCTTCGTTGCTGTATTTAAATCCTCGTGAACTTTGTCAAGCAACCAAAACAAAAATTCCTGAGCATCATGTTGCGTGGAATTCTTAAATTGTGATCCATAGCGCTCAACAACATCCTTAAATGTCGTGCTATAATCCGATGGATCTTTACATGTCCATAATGCTTTCAGCACTAAGGCAAGTTGTTCTGTTAATTCACCTTTAGTTCCGAATTTCCTTGAATTGATTTTATTTCGCTTTCGTAAATCGGCCTATAATTTAGTAGCAGAAACAGACAGACACAAAATAAAATAAAAAGTCAAAAATGGCATTGAAATAAAATAGAGCAAAATGAAAGCGTCAGTCAGTAAGCACATTTGTAATACATTCATTTACCTTATATTGATCAAGGACAAAATATTCGGCTAAAATGTCTGTGTGACTTAGACATTGCAAAACTGCATTCATGAAGCACGTATTTCCATGATTTCTAATGCCCATAACTCCTGGAATGGAGTCGGCTGGCAAGTAGACATAATTATTCAAAGGCGGTACCCGATCATTTTTGGCATTGTTTGGCTGTAATGATAGTAAAGAGAATAACAGTGATAAGGATGTAAATATTTGCAGATAGGAGACTGAACGAAAAAAGATTCATTTAAATAAGAAACAAGATACAACGTGACTTGATAAGATAACAAAACAAGACTCAAATCAGCATCATTTAATTATTGCTAGCATGAATGTTCAGATAAAAACGATGAATGAATGAAACTCTTCTTACGAAGCTGCTGTACAATAATAGCTAGTCATTGTGTGTGTCAGATTTATGGATCTTTTCTTATCTATTGCTCTATGAAATGTATTGTATCGCAAACTCGAGACTAAGCTAGATAAATCAGGCGATAACTGAATATCTCGTGACATTGAGCTCAATTAATAATTATCAATGACAATGATTGTTTTAATTTTAAAGAATTTTTGTTTTCTCTCGCGCGAATATCTTCGTTTTTGGCTGGCTGAGTGACTTGCTGGCCAACATTATACACAGATAAATGAATATGTAAATATCATTTTCATTGAGATGACGACGACGACGAACAAAAAAACTGGAATCACTTAAAATACTTTTTGGGCGGCATCTCTCACAAATACACAATCAGCACATAAAAATGTATGTTATTCATAAACACAGCTTGTTAGATGCATTTTTTCCTCTCTCACATTGACTTTGGAATTTCAATTATTTCCTCATAAAAAATAAATCACATTGAACTCTAGTGTTTGCATTCTTTATGTTTTATGTACTTTTATCGACATCATTATCGCTATCTTACATTATGGGACGTTTATGCAACGCGAAATATTTGCTTCTGTATGATAAATAACGATGACATGATAAATACTACATATTCAAAAATCGTTGGTGTGAATTAGCATGTGATGATGACTTAGTATAGACTCTATACTGGGCTATTTTAAGCTATTTTTATATTTTTTGCTCTTGTTTCACCAACATATCACGTACTCAATTATGATAATTTTTACAATGGGTGAAATGTATAGGAACAACAGCACACAAATTAGTTTGATTTTCGAATGAAATGTAGAAATACAGTCTAAAGCAATTTTGTGAATCATTCGAGCGAGTCCAATTTTTATTTTTTCATTTCTTACGATAGACAATTTGTCTCTCCATCTCTTTTCCTCCTTACCATGTCATGCTATATGCCATAAGAATCGCAAAGTATGAATGAAAAATGTACTCACGGTAAAATTTGTAATTTGCTGGATGTTTGCAATGATTTTGCGAAATGATGATTTCCTAAAGATCTTTTTAAGGGTGAATTTTCCTTTCTCTATGTTTTCCTCATTATTAATGTCCACTTTATCACTCTTTTCATCATTAATTGCATTATTATATTTGGGCTTCTCTTCATCACTGAATTTCCTTTGAAAAGTTTTGCGAATTTTTCTTTTTACATTTTTTAATGTATTATTTTTACTATTCTTATCAATATTGCATTTATCATCCTCATTGGCCTTTAATTCACGCGGTATATCCTTAATTTCAGCCATATTAAACGGTTAATTATGCTATTTTCATTCCACAATATTTTTGAACATTTTTTACGTGCAACCTGCCTTAAAAAAACTGAACTACCTCTTTAATTGCACAATCGAGGGGAAGACAATTCTGATTTTTACAAGCAGTTCACTCCCCCTTAACAGTTCTTTTGGACCTGTGAGCATTTAAATACTTTTTGTTTGTCTACATGATTTTCATCAATTTTCATCAATTTTCACCACTCTACTAATGAGTTTTCGTCCTTTAATGACATAGATTGCTTTGCCAACATTAGTTCAAATTCGATTATGTCAACAACAATTGAAAATCCTGTAAAAATATTGAATGCGCTTTATAATCAATGAACTTCACATAAATGCCTTTCATACTAGTTTGTTGTTGGCAAAATTGACAGGTTCAGCTCAATTAAATTCAGTAAAATTAATTAAAATCATGGTTTTTGCTAAAACGTGGGAAGATTTCGAGATTGGAGCTGAAGCTATGCTTATGGAGAATCCAGACAAATGTAGATACAGCATGAAATACACACACAATAAACAGAAATTAGTGCTTAAAGTGACAAACAATCAAAAGGTACAGGAACAAATATTTTTGATGATTTTTCAATTAATTCTTTCTTAATTCCTAGTGCATACAATACAAAACGGAAGTCCAGCCTGATCTAAAGAAAGTCGAGAAGTTTACTGGCAATGTCATGAATCATCTTACAACGAAACAATGAAAGTCAGACTGCATTCCAAATATAATTTTTGTTTTGAATTATTGAATTTTCTCTTAATTTAAGAGCTTTATGTTACTGAATGTCATGGTGAGATCATTTTTATGTTCAAATTGGTTCAAATAATAATTGCTATGAAACAGAAGTTTTGATATCTGAAATAAAAATCAAGTTTTCAAAAGATCCAGCTGTGATTTCAAAAAGGTCAAATTCGCCTATTTAAGCTGTAGATAAGAACCAGGTAAGTCCATTTATCGCCTTTAAAATAAAATAGGAAGTTATATCTTCAATATTTACTCTTTATTCATTGATAAATTCAATTTTACATGTTAATTCAGCAGTCTTGCAACTTCCTGGATCTTAAAAGGATACATTGGGTTCTTATTAGAATGCATCTATTTAACTTATTAGATCAAATGAGAAAAATACAAAGATACAGGCATCCTGAAAGTTGCAAGACTAAAATTATTTAAGAGAGTCCTTAGTTTATTGACTAGCTTTTTATTCCTATATATACAAAAATCAAGCAATTATGCTTAAACTACTCTCCAAATCATATCATCTCCATCATTACTAAACACATTCGGTTGCACTCGACTGATAAGATTGCTTGAATAGCTTTCATCAATACCGTTCTGCATGACTTCTTTGTTTGTGAGATTATGTCTTGAATGTGCTGTCGGCAAAATTGAGTGTTGTGATAAATGAGGATCAATATTTTTTTGAAAGTGGAAATTGCTATTCGTTAAATTTGTCATGACTTTCTCGCTTGGTCCATTTTTTGAGGATGATTGGTTTTGAGTTGTTGAAGAAGAACGCTCACGTGGACTTTTCTCATCGCCATTACTGTCTTTGTTTTTCGATTCTTGCTGTGCTTTTCTTGATCGTTTCCATTTCATTCTCCTAGTATTTGAGTAAAATTAATTAATATTAATTAGTGAAATGAAAGAATTGACTTAATCTTACCTATTTTGGAACCAAATCTTCACCTAATCGAGAGAATGAGATAGGAAAATGTCATGGAAATATTTTAACAGAATTTTCTTTTTACTAAGCATAAAGACACTTCATTTTATGGTAAAAGGGAAGGAAAAATCAACAAGAAACTTTTTTATGCTGAGCACTTGTGTAACCACAAAATCAGGATAAAGGACATTTTATGCTTGAAAAATGTGATTTGCTATTTGTCATAATCATCATGATACATGAAAAAGACATGACGTGATGAAAAATATTTATCTTTCTTATCTCATTTTTCTTTTCCTTTTTCTCCTGACTTTCTATTTATCTCTACGTGTGTGTGTTTATGTGTGTCGTAAGGCTTACTTGAGTGATATAGATCATAAAAAATAGTAAAAGTCAAAATAAATAAAATACCTGAGTTTCAGTTAGTAGTAAATTGCTTGCAACCTCATATCTTTTAGGACGTGACAAATATTTGTTCTGTTTGAATTGCTTTTCCAGCTCGAGAAGTTGCTGTGACTGTTAAGGAAATAAAAATCGTTAATAAAACGTTATTGATCAGTTATTGTAGATTTGGGGGTGTTAAAAGATTTTTGAATGGGGTTGATTAAGCTTCAAAAAAATCACGATGTGTAACACAGGCTGTGACCATGTTGTCTTAAATTCGCTAAGACCAAATCCCTGAGCACTCTAATTTAAGATGAAAGTATTGCTACCCTTTAACCCCCTCAAATACACTCCATCTTAATTCAATAATTCTCAAATCAAAACATTCAGCTGTGCGTACAAAAACATTAATTTTGGGCATGATCGACAATTTTTGAGGTAAAAAGATAATAGAAAGAAAGTAATACTCAACTGTAAAAGCAGTTCGAGGTCTCCTCGTCTTACCAAATAGACCGTGCTGGCCTGAAGAAGTAACATGAAATGAAAGAGAAATGAAAAAAAAAATTAAGAAGCTTGTATAAATTTCATTTAACATAAAAGATTAACAGCAACAACTGCAAGCAGCCGCTTTTAATCAACATTCAACGACGATTTCATTTACACAAGATTTATTTAAATAAACCAAAACCGATTTTTAAGTGATTTTTAAAAGCATTTTCGTATAAAATTATTTGAGCATGTCGGTCATTGGTCTTCTTGACGACGTTTAATGATCACACAGGCGAGTTTATTACAATTTATCGATTTTAATATTTTTATTTTTAAGACACTTCACGCGCTCGACGTGCTTAAGTGTATTTTACTTGTACACATAACTAGCAGCTCATAGATTCCCTCTAAAATAATAATAACAATAAAACTTTTAATTCTATTAGTTCTTAAATTTAGGATAAAAAGTAAATACCGAATATATTTTGATTGCATCATTAAGAACTTTACGGAGAGTCTCTCAGTAGAAAATAAAATATTGAATAGTAAATAATGATGAATCTATTCCACTCTGTTGTTTGCTTTCTTACTCGTTTTATATTTCAAATAGCTTTTAATCCAATAAGCAGTACGAATATAGACAAATAATCGTTGCATTAAATTTTCGTTCGTGAGTCGACAACAAATGATTTCAAATGCTCTTCTTTTCCTTTTATATTTTTTTGGTTCGCAAGGATAATTTGTTTAAATACACAAATATCCGAAAAATGAGCTATGTTTGTGAACAATTGGTATGGTTGTTATTCTTACTCAATCTTGATGACGCATTTTTAGATTAGACATAATTTTTTAAAGGTTATTTTTGTTTAAAACAATTTTTCATATTGAAATGGAAACAAAAATTGCGAAATTATAAGATTTTAATCTATATCAATTATTTGACAGTTTTTCATTAGCTTGGGACTTGTTATGAATGTTCTATTACTGAAGTTAATATTTTATGGTTTCGATCATTAAACTTTAAACCCTCCAAATTGGATTGTGTAGATAATCATTCAATCTTTCCTACAATAAGAATAATCTCAGCCTCACCACAACGCTTAGTTCTGAATGTAATGTAGTTTGAGAACCACTGATTATAAGGATTAGCTTAGTTTTTTCTTAAGTAGTCAATTATTGTATTTCAGCATAGCTTTCCATCCCGTGAAGATCCTCAAACGAATCTTTCGGATAAACTCTTAAGATTTAGATACTCTTATGACGTGTTAATACGTTTGTCGCAATTAAAAAGATTTGAATCATAGAACTAAGGAGTTTAAATATTTCTTTTAGGATGAATAAGAGAAAGCATTAATAAATTAGCTTTTTTAAGAATTATTCTAGTTCTTTCGGTACTTCTTTTCTAATTAATCAAATCAAAGACTAATTGCTACAACTAAATCAAATTCTAAAGCAATTTTCAGTCAATGATTCCCAAGAAAATATGACTCACTGTTTCAGACACAAAACTTCCAAAGACAGTTGAAATAAAACTTTTTTGCAATGTGATTCTATTTCCAACAAAGAAAAGAAGCAAAAAGATGATAATAATGAACAAACGATTTCCATAACATTTATTGTTATTTCTTTTGTGCTCCTTCCAATATCAATGATGTTATACGTAATGTACATAAAGATAGGTAGAAATTGGCTATTTTCTGCACATATAAATTTTATGTTGCCATTTGTGTTATGCCTTTTTATTTACCAAAGAGCTTTTCGACCCTGGAAAAGTCTTTTTATTCCTCATTTATTGTAGCTCTAGAAAAATTTAACGAGATATTTTTATTTCTGCCAGCAAATGATGTACTTAATTTTGATTTAGGAACGATTTTTATGTATTTTATGTACAAAAAATGAACGAAATTATTATCTCTTGATGATTGCGGTTTGGCGAGTAAAAAGGACCAATTTATTAGATGACTTTTACTATGTCCATTAGCGTAATTATTTTTTATGATTCAAAGCTTTATATTTTTTTTTATATTTCCTCTGTCTTTCGTTCTCAATCATGAGATTCATGTACACATAGAAACAAGTTGATTTGCCATTTTGAGTCTGTCGAGCGAAAAAAACAAGAGCATAAATCTTTGGATAAATTTTCCAAGCGACCATTTCCTTACTAGCTTTATGAGAAAATTGTAGATTTACAAACGATTTATTTTGTTGTTTTTCCGCTACGTTTAAAGACAAAATGAAAATTCATCTTTATGATTTATTAAATCCATTTAAATATTTTTTATGGAGCATATTTTTGTCTCTTTATGGGCAAAATTATTAAATGAGGCATTTAAAATTTCCCTAAGCAACTATCATGTCGTTCGAAACGCCCATTAAATTTTGCTTTTTATCCCCATTTTCATTTTCATTTACTTATAGGAAGGGAAAATGTCGGAAAATTGAAATCTTTAAATAGTCGTAAGGAAAGTTTGGTTGAAGTCCAATGCAGTTCGTTGAGCGCTTTTTTGTAGTTTAATCAGGTTTAATTGTGTAATTTATCGGAATGCAGGGAGAGATTTAAATAAATTCCTAAATTAAGAATCTCAAGGATTCAAAAATACCAAATTTTCAGATTGATATTATCTAGTCAACTCGACTCAACTCAAAAACGATCCAATTTGAGTCAAACTTTTCAGAAAAGATGTAAAGTTATAACTAGAAAACAATTGGACTGGAAATTAATCTTAAACGAATTAACGAATTTTCAATTCCTTGGTCAAAAAATGAAATTATAAAATTTGTCTAAATCAAGGGTGTGGAACTGAAGAATTACACTTTTATCAATTTTGATAATTTTTAATCATTTTCGATAATTTTTTGATCATTTCATCAGTACATCCTTGGTCCGAATTAAGGCTCAGTCACTCATCGAAAAAATATGATTTTTAAATTTCTGTTCGGAGATTGAAATTCAACTTTTGCGTACAATATTCTGCAAAATTCAAATCAAAATCTGGTTATTTTTTTACCATCAGTCACGTTATTAGTGCAACAATCAAATTCTTAAATAATCAGGACGTAGAGCATAAAGATACCTTAATGAAAATTCCAAACAGTTATAAATTCCACTGAATACTTAACACCATTCACTATGTGACAGACAAAATGCACACAACATTACATATGCCATTAAAAAGTCAGTCAAGAAGAAGGAAAACCCTCATCATTAGTTCTGTAGAAAGATCGTAAAGAATATTGCAATGGATTTTAAAGGAAATAATAGCAAACATTGAGGAAAAAGACAGAAGAAAATGGTTTTTCCCTCACTCTAATGCAATTATATGTCAAGTATGGTTGAAAAACACTCTGACGTTACGAGGATGGGAGATGTTTACGACAACACAGAGATATATTTCTCTTGATTGCCTTACCATTTAATGCTTTTCATGACAAAAAAAAAACTTTTTTACTCACTCGTTCCACACAGAATTTCAGAATTCAACTGGATGGAAAAAAAAGAGGGAGACGAACAAAAAAGTGGATGTATGGAAAATGTGTAATCTACGTTAATTAAACTTAATTTATCTTTTCATCAACTTTTTTTCCTTCTCTTTCCATCTCACTCGCCCACAGCTTTTTAATCACAAACTTTTTTCCACATGGGACTTCTTTTCATCACCATTTTTCATCTCTCTCTCTCTTTGGGTTGGAGTATAATATGTATGTGGTGATAGCAGAAGCAGCAGCAGCTAGCTTTTTAATTGATTTTATTGCGCATAGTAGTAGAATGAGGAAAATGAGAACAGGGAAATTGTAATTCAAGTCAAATTTAATTTGTTTTTTCTTTCACATTCAAACCATTTTCTAAATGATCCTAAATGACTGCTAATTGGGACAAAGTAAGTGGGGAGGTTTTTATAATTTGATTTGATACCCGAGTGAATCTACTGATGGGTAAAAATGTTTCGGAATGAAGTCATTTTGAAATAAAATTCTCTCTCTTTTTTTTTTGTGTGCTGTTTATACAAGCTTAACTGTCTTTTGTAAAATCAATATTGAATCACAAATTAGCTTCAATGATTTTTTTCCTGTTGATGGATTTAAGAATTTCGCTTTTTAATTATGGAAATTTATTTTAAACATAGAATTGTTATGAATTTTAATGACATTATTTACTCTACTTTTTGGATTTAAGGGTGGTTTTATGGGATGGAAATTAAAATTATAGCTTCGGAATGTCTTATTTTGTGGCTAGAAACTAGAAAAGGGATAAGAGTCGGTTGAGTTGGATAATTAAACATTATTTTCATCCAGAGTTTGCAGTTGATCTAGCTTTAGTTGTTGTTGGAGTCATTCCAAACTTGTTTTGAATCAAATGTTTTTAAATTGAAGTTTGTGGAACTGATAAATCACGTTTTGATTAATTTTGATTTCTGATTAAAGTAAAACTTCTTAATTCGGTAACTTAAGTCTGACTTGATATAATTTAACTAAAATGGATTAGCCCTGTAAGTTTGTTATGATGCGCTTCTTCGAAATCATTCCAAACTTACATCAACTTATCTTGTACTCTTCTGAATAGCAGTAACAATGACAAGTGTATCATCATACAACAAAGTGTATAGAGTGTGAGGAAGAAGAATAGAAATAAAATTTCATAGGGTGCTAATTAATCGTTGATTATAATCCTTGAAACCCATAAAACATCACCCGTCAAAAAGTAAACATAAGAACAATTCTTTTTATTTTCTGCACAGAAAAAAAGGCCCAACAACCCCTAACAAATAATAAAATATAAGCATTATAAATACAAAAAACCTCAGACACCATGCAATCATCGAATTGAGCAATACTTCCCTCCCCCTTCTATACATAATATGAAAACTATTTTTCATTAAATGCTTTACAAACAATTAGATGAAACAGATGTAGTAAATAAACATCGAGATCAGGATCGTAAGAGTGTAGAAAAAAAAGTTTTATTTGTCAAATTAATCAATGGAAAAAAATAGAGAAGAATAAAAAGAAGAGTTTGCGCCATAATCGCTGTCATCATTTAGCATTCATTTCACATATGTGCACAGTAGAAATATACTTAGAGAAATTAGATTTAATTTCCAACTATTATGCTGCGCTCACATAAATAAGTGATTGGAAAAAATGCCAATTTCTAAATAATTTATGAGTTCAAACAACGGCAATAAAGTTGTCACAAAAAAAAAAAATAAAGTTTTAAAGTTTATTTTTTATTGAAAAAAAAGTTGAGTAGATTGATTATTAAAGAGTTAGGGTGCAACTTAATATGACTTTTCAGTCTGAATCAAGTAGGGTCTAAAAAACGATGATTGATGTCAAAAAACTGGTAGTTGATATGGTTCAACGTCCTAATGTTGTATTTTGTAGATTTTAAAGGATTGTCTGTCGATTACAATTGTTATGTTTGCGTTTTAGAGTCGTAATGTTGACTCATAAAAGTGATAACTTCAACTCACTTAACCAAGAGCATGTTCTAATATTTGAAGTTCTATATAGGTTAAGGTCGAACTATTTTAACTAGTATGTAGCTAGGTTTGAAGCGAAATTTACATAAAGGAGCTAATAATGATACTTAATCCGAAAATCTTAAAAATTAGACCTAAATTCTGTTGAGTTTTGAACTTTATGTCGGTTTAAAATAATCTTTCATAAAAAATCAAAAAATCTTATAAGATTCCAAAATCAATTCATTGATCCTTGCCGACAAAAACTGATTTAAACTTTTTATTTTATTGATGATTGTACCAATTTTCTGTTCGATTAGATTATTTTTATTACAAACTTTATTCGTTTTAAATTAAGTATTTATCATTGATGAATCATCATCTCCGCACAAAACATATGCAGCAAAGATACATTAAGGGGGGAAAATATTTCTGTGATGATTGAAAAAAGGATTGGCAAGCAGAGAAAATAAAAATTCAGCATAAATAAAATTTATCCAACAATTTCAATCATGTATGGAAATGAAAATATGCAAATAATCCAATTCGTAATCGATATTATCATCACAAATGATGGTATGTGTAATTGAATGTTGATTGAAAGTATTTCGAAAGCGATATTGTATGTCTATGCAATTAGAAATCAATATGATAAATATTTAAATTTTCGCTTTATCTTTTCGATTTTATTTTATAAATTATAATACATTGTACTTACCCGTTAAATCTGTAATTCGAGGATAGAAAATTCCTGCTTGTCGTATTAGCTCAAGATTTGATAAATGGGGAACGAAACCGGGGATCTAATGAAGTGTGAAAATTGATATTTTAGATATTTTCTTGCTATTTTTTAAAATGGAAAATTTGATTTTTGATTTACACAGTAACTTACGGGGATCTTCCCACTTCCATCAGGGCGATGAAATGCTGAATTATTGGGTAACAGCAATTGTGGTTGATACATATTATAGAATTGAGGAGGGAATGCTTGATGTCGCATCTCAGGCGGAATTGGACGTTTGAATGATTCTTCTGATGCAAAACCTTCAGATAAATTTTGGTCTTCACATCCTGGACTGATTGGCGGGCTCGATCTTGTCGATGATATTGGTGAGTCTGATCTGGAATGGGGGAATATTTGATTGATTATTTGGAAAATGAATGAGTTGTTCTTGGTTATTCCTGAATGTTATCATTAAATGGGGTCGTTTGTAAAAGTTAAGAAGTGTGTGGCTAGTTAAAGATTATTTAAATGGTTCAACTAAGATCTCAGTTTTGATGAAATTTCTAAATTTCGGTGTAAAAAAGGTTGAATGAGGTGTCAAATATTTCAATACCTAATTTTCGAACGACCCCACACAGTATTTAATTATTTTAATCTTCAAAAAAATTAAGAAACTTCAAATTTTGACGAAACTCAATCATAATTCACAAATTCTACCTCGACAAATTGTCATCAGGACTGCTATTGAGATCTCTTGAAATCACATTATCCTTATAGTTATTATTAATAAAATTATTGTGTATCCTTTTATGTACATCCACATCATTTTCTCCATTCTCATCATTCCTACTTTTTGCTAGTAAAGCATCAATACAAAATGACTTTTTACTGTTTAGCGTCGGCGTTTGATGTAAGTCATGATTGTTATTATTATTATGATTGATTAATCCTTTATCACTTCCGTTTTCTTGTTGAAAAATTCGTATCTCGGGCGGTATTGAGAGTGGAGGGGGTGTTGAATGATCCTGGTCATCATTTGATGAACTCGGTGATGATGAACGCTGATTAATTGGCGATAAATGTGACATTACTGTACGCAAATTTTTATTTATTCCACAAATCACTGCATTTACATAAATTTTATCACTTTATGCTGCTTGTTCTGTTTGATAATTTTTTTTTCGCAATTGGCTTATGATTCACTTCTATTGTAGCTTTTTCATTACAACAGATTACAACATAAAAATCATTTTTATTATGATTAATAAAATTTGCATAGAATTCATGAAATAAGGATAGACCGATTATGCAAATCAAGCTTGTCTTTATTTTTCACACAAATACTGATTTTTTTTTTCTTGCTGTGGATGTTACTATAGGTCAGTGTTAAGCACTAAAAAATTATGAAGTGTCCATAGATAAAAGACATCGACTGAATATTACTTCCGATATTATTTCGTTTTACGACTGTCCCGAGCAGAGTCACTTGAATGAATGTGCGTTGTCTGCTGTATTATATTTTTTTTTCGTATGTTCCTTTCTTCTCAACTTCAATTTTCAAGTGGTAACGAATATTAACATAAGCGCAACACAATCAAAGAGCAACTGAACTAAACCTCGTCATTACAAAATATAATAGCTCGTTGTGCTGATGTTGTTTCAAAATTCATTCCAAGAGTGTTTTTGATTAAATTTTTATCGCTTCATAATGAGACTGAAATATTGTACAAATAGAACTGAGTTTTGAGGGAAACATTTTTTTTATTTTTTATTTTTTTTTTCATCTCGTTTTTACTTCTTTTACTGCTTCTGCTGTGTGTTCCATTCCATTCGATGAAATCTTGCATCCATTGAGTTGATATGGTGGGCGTGGCTATGCTTTACAGACTGGAATATTTTATCACACACACTAGCGTATTTCCAATTCCAATGCGAATAATGAATTTTTCTTTGCGTTTTCCTTTTTGTGGAAAAAAAATGTTTTCCTCATTCATGCATGAAGAAATTATGGAAGAGTAAAAATGGAGAAAATTATTGACGTTGAATAATGGTTGAAAATTTGTCATTACGAGTGAAATTTTACTTCTGTTGTAGATCGGAAAATTATATGACATTAAGAATCTTTATTTTTGTGATTTTTTGTTCAAGTTTGTGAAAAATTGTGATTTGTGTATTTCTGGAAAATCTGAAAATTAAGTTGCTAACCTGAAAAACTCAAAAATCTATAAAGTAAATCACTCAAAATCTTGAATTAAGTAAAAATTAATCTCATTTTATTCCTAAAAATATTTTACAATCAAGCCTTAAATCTAAAGTAATTATTAATTTCATGCTAAACCAGGAACAAACGGATGACTATGACTAAATGTATGTTGTGGATGAATGTTAAGTGGAACTGATTTATAACTATCGAGATCATTTTTTGAGCTGGTTGATGATGAATTGAGATCTTTTGATTTATTGGATGAGCTCTTTGCTGAATCCTTTTGTGGTTTCTTTGACCTTTTAAACTTCATTCGTCTGTTTTGGAACCAAATTTTGACCTAATAGATGAAATGAAAAATAAAAGGATTAGCAAAAGAATATTTGTAGTAAAATCTCAAATCCCTTGGTAAGTAAATAAGAAAATTATTTGAAGAGGGAAAAATCAACAAGAAACTTTTTTTTATGCTGAGCACTTGTGTAACCACAAAATCAGGATAAAGAACATTTTATGCTTGAAAAATGTGATTTGCTATTTGTCATAATCATCATGATACATGAAAAAGACATGACGTGATGAAAAATATTTATCTTTCTTATCTCATTTTTCTTTTCCTTTTTCTCCTGACTTTCTATTTATCTCTACGTGTTTGTTTATGTGTGTCGTTAGGCTTACTTGAGTGATATAGATCATAAAAAATAGTAAAAGTCAAAATAAATAAAATACCTGAGTTTCAGTTAGTAGTAAATTGCTTGCAACCTCATATCTTTTAGGACGTGACAAATATTTGTTCTGTTTGAATTGCTTTTCCAGCTCGAGAAGTTGTTGTGACTATAATGAAAATAATTATTTTGATAATGTCAATCTTTAATTGATATCAATTTTGATCTATTACTTAAATTGATAATGTCTAAGTTCAAAGGTTTAGAACTGGATTAAAAGATAATATTAATATTTATCCTTAACTGATCCTAATTCACAAAAAATCTAGATCTCATATTGTTATTAGAATTAATGTCTTTTAAAAATTGAACTAATTTCAACTCAAACTTTGAAATCAGTTTTAATTTTTGAAGGAACCAAAACTATTCAAACTAACTTAAAGTTTTCTTTTGTATCAATCATAAACTTATATTATGAAGAATTAAATAACTCAAAAGCTCATTTATAAATTTTAAAGAATAAAATACTTACTGTAAATGCTGTACGAGGCCTCCTTGTTTTTCCGAACAGCCCATGATGTCCTGCTGTAAAATAATTTGTATTTAGACATTTTGCTTAATATTTTCATCATTTAAACTCACTATTAAAATCATATCCATCATAATAAAATTGCCGTGGATGATAAAACATTTCCATATTTGGATAATGATGCGGGAAATTCATGAACGGTGGCATATTTGGGAATAAATGCTGTGATGGACTACTGTATGAAGTATTGATATTATTCTCTAAATTTTCACATCCTGGACTGATTGGTGGACTTGAGCATATCGACGAATTGCACGAGTTTGAATCACTAAATAGATAAATTTCAATTTTAGAATTTTTGGCTGAACTTTTTAAAAAATTTTAGTTTTTTTTTGCTACCTCACGCAATTATTTTCATCCTCAAAATCATTTTTGGAACATTTGTTTGATAACAACGATTCAATTAAAAATGAACTCTTCATTCCTTTCTTATCTTTTGATTCAATATTGTTTCTATAAATAATATTTTCTGGTATATCCCCTAAATCTTCACTTTTCATCTTCTACTTAAAATTCTTTTATTTTTGTTTATCAACTTTTTCTATATTTTTTTTGTCACAAAATTTACTTTTTATTTCACATCCGAACGCAACGACGTCGCCTGTATGAATGATCGCTTTATTTTAATTTATCTGGTCTGTTACGCTACAACTTTAACATCAACACATTCAAACGGAATACAATCAAAGAGTAACTGAATTAAACCTCGTTATTACAGACTATAATAGCTGATGTTGCTTCAAATTTCATTCCAAGAGTGTTTTTGATTAAATTTTTATCGCTTCATAATGAGACTGAATTATTGTACAAATAGAATGATGTTCTAGGAACAGAAATCTCCTTCATCATATCCATCTTTTTCGTGATTTTTCTTTTCCATCCGGTATAAAGTCCTTTGCTCCATTAAAGTATTGTGTATGCGTGAACTAAAGGCGTGGCTTATTGTGTAGACTGGAAGTCTTCACTTCCATAATTTAGTTTAAACGATTTTGTCTGTGAACATAAAAGATAATAAAAATCTTTTTCTATATTTTCATCAACATCTCGTTCATTTCTCCACAAATGAAGTCCATTCAGCTACATTCAACTTCCTATTATCATCATCAGCATCGATTTTTTTTGTGTGCTTCTGCTTTGTTTGCATGTGTTTGTGAAAATTAATTTCACGTGTACTCATTGTGTTACTGATTTTTCACACGTTGGCAATCAATTAGTCGGCATTAGCTCGTTAATCAACAGAAATAGCTTTGCGTAAGCACTTATATGAGCAATTGAGTGCCAAACAAAATTAAGTCAATTACACAATTGAAATCAGCATTAATGATCTTATCGAAAAGCAATTAATTATAAATTTGAAACATTTCTTCGACCCACTCAATCCCAAAACTGTCATTAAGGGCTTTAATAGTATCGAAATAATATGTATATGTATAAATTTTTCAGTGATAACATGATACATTGATTGATTATTATTGAGTGGATACGCTATTTGGGGATCATAAATCAAAATTTAAAAATAATTAGACTTTTTAATGTGTCGATTTTATTATTCCAGTGTCTGGCAAACATTTTTTGAAGGGTGGGACTTTTTTGATATATATTTTCGAAGTTGGGGCTTGTAATTTGTATGGCTAAGTCGAGATATCCTAATCGTCGCTCTCCTCTTAGGTTCAGAAAAGGATGGAGAGTTTTGATGCTCAATCCCTTTCAGATCGATTTTTTATAATTTTCGGTTCACAAAACAATAAAAAACTTTGCCAAATTCTACAGATTTGTCAAGTTTGTCAGACTTTAATCTCATCAAATTTTCAGACCTTCTCTTGGTTCATAACGACAAGATTGAGCAAACACTGTTATATTCTCAAACGAAAACTGTTTCTTATCACCAAACTGGGGAGCTTGTCATTAATTACTTTAAAACAAAAAAAAATAACGGGCTCAATCCAAGTGTTCAATTGATCAATTAGAGAATTATGAAGTATGCAATAAAACAATTAGGTTCATCTAGTAGCAACTGACATAGTCATAATCAGACACAGAAGCTTTTATTTGTTTATTTTCTTTATTTCCGATAAGACTTTTAAAGAGCAAACTTCAACAAGCAATTTCACGTGAATGAAGAAGCGTTTTATTGCTACCGTAATTGATCTGATAAGGAATTCAAGTACTTTTCCTCAATACTTTACATTTTATGTTCAAAAATGTTCCTCAAAATATCTTAAGCACATATCAAAACATGTGCCTATAAATAAAGAATATAAAAATATTCTTATCATTACACAGAAATCAAGCTTCTTGTACTTGCTCGTGACAAAAAAAAAAGGAATTGTAATCAATTAAAATTAAACTGAGTGAGTAATCAATTATAATTGACATCGACAAGGTGATTAGTATTTAATATCGAGAGTTTATTAGCACGGCAACAAAAATAAATCATTTATTTCGATTATAATAACAACATAATTTTGTGTGGTGATCACATTTATGTATATATGAATTTTTTGGGGTTGATTGGGATGAGAGTAATTATCATTGGTAATTTGAATGAAATTAAGACAATAAATTACAGGATTAGAAAATGATGATAATTAACTCTTGCTGATTATGTTTGTAAATTTATTATGAATGGGATTTTTGAGAGTTTATGAATTGTATTCAGTGCTTCATTCTAATTAATTAAGAGTCACAAGAAACTTAAAGTTAAATTTCCTTGAAACCATGAAATAAAACTTGACCTTTTTGACTCAACAACCAGCAACTTGAACCTATTTCTGTTTAAAAAGTTTCATTTGTCACACATTAACCATGTTAAAAAGTGCATCGATAATTATTTAATTTGACCAATTATGAAGACTTTTTAAAAATTCTGACAGATGTTGATGGTAATTGTTCGCTAAATGCTTAGAATAAATCATCCCAAAAAATCATAAAAGTATCAAAAAAGATGCATACAAAAACAGTCAGCATGCGTAACAATAAATTAGGGAAAAAGTGAAATGTGTCATCGGTTTTCAGGGATTATATTCTTATTATTATGATTGTTTAATCATCACCCTATGACTATAATAACATCAACACTTGCCGCTATTTTTCTTTACAATTCTATTAAATAAAATTTTTAAATTTGTAGGGTTGATTTTAAAATTTTTATTATTGTCTCCCATCATTGCCTTCGTTGTTGTGTAAATAATCAAGAGGAATAACATTTTAAAGTCGTTGATTAACATTGTAATTCTGTTAATAATTTTATAAACTTTGAATTCATTTAATTCAGTTTAAAAAAATTTTATGCAATTTATGTTAAATTTTTTGGAAATCAATTTATAAAATTGCATCAATTATCAACATATGTGCCAAAAAAAAAGTGCATAAAAAGATTATTTCTAATCGACAAGGCGTTAAATTTTTGGTATAGAAAATAAAAAGAACCCAAAAAAGTTGTAAAAAGGGAGAAAAATCAGCTTTAATTGTGACCATATTTCAGAAATATTCATATAAAGCTATTAAATGTAAATAAAAGCAAACTGCATTTGGATTCTCAATATAATGCTTGATTGAATGCAAACAGGTTCTAAAAATGTTTAATCGAAAGGAAAATGATACTAATTGCAGTGCATATATCTCGTACTCTCGCTTTTACTTTCCATACGATGACTTATAGTGATAATCTCTCTCTCTTTATTTGAGGGGTGAAACATTAACCCCTCATTTCAGAACGATAATTTATTTATGACGGGATTCAATTAGGGGTTGTATATAATATCAAAATATCACATATATTATGAAAATTAAATGCACTTTGCACAGAAATGAATTTCATATCGCTCCTTTCAAGCTCTTTGTGTATATGTACGCTTTTAATCTCATTGACAAATAAGTATTAACACACTTGATGCATTGATTGGCATTAAAAAAATTGCTGTAAAAAATATTTCCACATGAGTTAATTTAAGTAAAATGTTAATTTAGTAAAGAATTTTTGGTTATTAAGATTTTAAAGCGAATTTCTTAAATTGTACCTTAGATTGGTTTGGAAAATCTAGTGCGATCTATTTAGTAGCGATTTGGTGAAAAAAAAAATAAAAAGGATTCTTTCAAAAACTCTTCTTCTTGACTTACTTTAGCAATGCATAGCAAATATAACGAATTTATAATTGTCAAGCGATGATTATCAGCTGATTTTAAAAAATATTGAGAATTTTATTTAAAAAATCTTTGATCTTAAAATGGAAATTATGAAAAACATTCAAATCAATTCTGACCAAAGACTAGAACTTTGATTTACAAATTTATTTTTAAATTCAAAAACCTTCAAAATCCTGAAAATATCAGAAAAACCCAGAATAAATCCTAAAAGTCCTTAAAACAACAGACAACTGGACTTACAAAACTCAATTCAAACTCAAAAGCACGAATAATAGTGCTAGCCAATAAAATGTTAGATTAAGTGGCTGTCAATGCTTCATTATCATATGCATTAAGTAATTTTCATTCCCATTAAATTTATTGGTTGATTTTTATTAATTATGCAGCAGCATATTCTTATCTTATCAATCAATTAAAATCAATTAACACGAATTGCGTGAAGTGAGAGAGACATTTAGGTAACTCTTCGACATTTGATAGTCGTTTTACATTAATAGATACATTACATACACAGTCTGTTATGATAAAATGATAACATTGGAAGTTTGTGTTTTAATTAAAAACTGTGTACAAAATATTGTGTAAAATAAAGGTCGGTCTCATGCCACTTATAATAAAATGAAATAAAAAATAATTTTTTTAGAGAATCGGAAAAATTGAATTAGCTAATTGCACTTCCTCTTGGGACAACAAACAATTCATGCAAGAGAGCAGCACAGAAAAAAAGACGAGGGAGACTGAATTTATGCCGTCTTTATGTAAATAATAAAATGATCAAGCTGATTTCGAGTAAAGTTAGGTAAAGAATGAAGGAAAACATAAATTCATCCTTAAATGTCTCCGTGTGGAAATCTTACAAATGCAGTTATGGACATTGACACTTCATAAATGTCAATCTTTTTAAGGTTCTGTGTATCAAAAAAATTTAAACAATTGTAAAAATATCATGTTCATGTTGAGATCAATCCTCAAATACCTTAAAGCAATAATATAAATTGCCAAACATGTTAAAGGATTTACATGCATCAATGACTCCCCAAAATATCATTCCAAAATTTTCTTCTCTCTTTTATATATTTTTATGTTTAACCCTCAAAAAGCGATAAAGTCAATAAATTTCCATTGTCTTCTGTCTCATTCTATCACATTAACCATTTGGTTGACGAAAAGTTTGCGTCTCGTTTCTTCTTCTTACGACTTAACACCACCATAAAATAGATTGAATGGAGGAAAAATTATTTGTCGAGGATTTTATGTCTCGTTTAATTCAATTCAATTCAATCAAGCCAAATTACAAATATTCACATTTATCAACACAAAATGGTTGAAAGATCCTTTTTTTAAGCATTTTTGCTTGTTCAAGAAATTTTATCCAGAACGGTAGCTGAATAAAAGGGGAAGATTATGAAAATGTAGGATGTGTGTAAAATAATTTTTTTCCAAAGAGATTT